GAAAGTTTACAGAGCAAATTCACTTTCCATACAGCAGCTCACATACACTTTGTCTCATAACATTGACTGCAATTTCCCACAATGCAACAGCTCCCGTCCCACTTCCTCCCCATAGTTACCTCTTCCCTGTGTCCTTCCCTCCATGCACTCCTGGCCCCTGAGCTGTCTCCGTGTGCATACACAGGCCTTCTATTCACCCATGATTGAGCTCTCCAAAGAGTGTATCTACCTAATGTAAATGTTTAGTTCATATGTCTTTCTTTTGTTTGGCTGTAAGCTACAGTAGTGGTTTCAATTTCAGACCTGTAGGGCAGCTAGGGGCCATAGTCTCAGTGGTTCCATCAGGCTCTATCAGACCAGCTATGGTGTAGTAAATTACCTAGTATGGCTTTTTTAGCCATAAATCTTTATAAACTCCATGGTGGAATTTGCCATGAGCAACTGAGTAGCTCCTGATTGTTAAAGTTATCTATCTAGGGTGTTTTTGTTGGGAACAGCATGAAGTAATTTTCTGGGAAGTTTGCTCTCTCTCAGGTGTATAGAATTCTGATGTTGGGATTGGTTAGTTTGGCCACTCTGCCAGGCTCAAAAGGAGCCCTCCTAGAGGCAGAAGAAATCTCTCACTGCCAGCTGAGAGATGCAAGAGACATACGTTGCTGAGAGAGAGACATGAGAGACATGCATTGAGAGAGACCTCAAGAGACACGCACTGCTGAGAGAGACCTCAAGAGACACAGACCACTGACAGAGAGAGAGACACCAAGAAATAGGCACTGCTGGGAAAGAGACTGAGAGAGACTGTTGGCTGAGAGACGACAGGCTGAGAGAGATTGAGCATGTTCCTGAACTTGAATTGTAGCCTGTTGCTTCTCTAATAAACCCCATAATCTGTGTGGCCACTGCAGCAAATTATCGAACCCAGTAGAGAGGTGGTGGGTACTGCTGGAGAAACAGTTGGTGTCAGAATTTGAAAGGGCTGGAGGGATGCATGGAGGCTGGAGCATGTCTGGCCTCTCAGGAGTAGGCCTTGAGCTACTGATGGTGATTCTGTCTTCCTTTTGGGGGGTTCGAGGAGGTCAGAAGTTGCGGCCTTCCTGCCACTTTGGCACCAGCATATCTAGTCCTTTTTTTTTTTTTTTTTTTTTTTTTTAATGATTTTGAGTTTTGTTCCACATTGTTCTCCCACTCTATCCAGGATCTCCTACATAGATCCCTCTCTGAGTGGTTGACAGTGGTAGCCAGGCACCATCTAGTTCTTCTGGTCTTATAGTTGTATCTGCTGAGGACTGCATGGTGTACCAGTCGCTTGGACTAATTGTTTCCATGTATCTTTGGTTTTCTTCATTCTTCTTTGCTCTGGATGAGGAGAGACCCATTATTGCATCTAGATGGCCATTTGCAAGCTTTTAGATCCCAGTCACTACTCGCCAAAGTAGGATGTGTAACAATGTTTTTGTGTAGTATGTTATGCCAATTGAGCTTGATGTCCTCTGTAACTATGGTCCCAAGCCCACAGGTCCAACTACTTACTCCCTCTGGGTAGCTGGCTGTGGCCCAAAGTGACTACAACTTTGTCTCTTGTCAGATCAGCTGGATCTTCTTCCAGGACGGATTTCTTAGTTCTTCTGGCAGTCCATGGTACTTTGATTATTCTTCACCAACACTACAACTCAAAAACATCAACTCTTCTTCAGACTTTCTTATACATTGTCCAGCTTTTACATGCATACGATGCTATTGAAAATACCATGGCTTGGGTTAGGTGCACCTTAGTCTTCAAAAAGACATCTTTGCTCCTCAGCACTTTAAAGAGATCTTTTGCAGCAGATTAGTCTAGTCCAGTATGACGTCTGATTTCTTGACTGATGCTTCCATTGGTGTTGACTGTGGATCCAAGTAATATGAAATCTTAGATAACTTCGATCTTTTCTCCATTTATTATAATGCTGCTTATTAGTCCATTTGTGAGGATTTTCATTTTCTTTATGATGAGGTCTAATTCATACTACAGAGTGTAGTCTTTACTCTTCAGTATTTCAACAGTTATTTCCAACAAGCACATATGCAGAACAGCAAAGTATTCTAGCTGAGGTCAAATAAGGCTAGTTCAGTATTTGCTAATTCATTATTTGTGAGGACTTGATAATTACTGCATATAATGAGAACCGACTGCACGTTTAATTCACCAGTGTATCCCATGGTGTCCGGTGTTGAGGTTTCTGGTCTCTATCTTATGGCTTTATCTGATGATCACTTTGTGCCCTGGTGTTATGTGTTGAATTGCTCTTCTCTCCTACCTTCTATTTCCATCCTAAAAAATTAATAAGAAGTTGTGTGTATTTCCTTTAGGATAGTTACTGTCATTATTTACAGACTTTTAATACATTGTAACTCCTAACTAGATCCCTCAAACCATTAGGTTGAGAAACTTGTCAACTCCAGTGTAATTTATTAATTTTCTAATCAAGAGTGGGCATTAGTGGAAACATAAAGATACTGTCTTATTAATTTGACATTTCATAAATTATGGTTTGTTTCTATTTTATTTAAAAAATCCAAATATTAATGAAATTATATCCCACTCTTTGATCAGAGGTAGTTAGAACTGAAATGCGACTCAGCTTAGCTTATAGCTTGAAATGCTGTTGTTGTTGTTAGGTGCCATCGAGCTGTCTCTGACTCATAGCGACTGTATGTACAACAGAATGAAACACTGCCTGGTCCTGTGCGAGCCTCACAATCCTTGCCATACTTGAGCCCATCCTTACAGCCACTGTGGTAATCCATCTCATTGAGGGCCTTCCCCTTTTTCGTTGACCCTCTGCTTTACCAAGCATGATATCCTTCTCCAAGGGATGTTAGACCATGAAATTTAACAGCCTAGAAAATGAAAATTTATGTGTGAATTTTCTTTATTAATGGCTACTAATGACTTATAATCAAGGTAAAACCTTTAGCAAGTAATTACCTATTTATTTGCTATGTAAATAGCATAATTCTTGAATTTCTAATTATCTTCTCTGTTGAACATTAAGGTCAAAATAAATTGTCTTAAGAAGGAGAGCATTTCTTTATATGTAAATATAATTTATATTAACTGCAAGTATTTTTCATCATTTGTAGGGTAACCTTTCCCAGTTTTTTTTTTTTTTTTAATAAGTATGAAAATATCTTTGCACTTAAAAATAAAAGATGATTCTTAGATTAGTGTCTTGAATATGCATGGTCCCCAAAGTTATTATTAGAAGTCAAGTTTGAAATCTAAGTAATTTCCCTCATTCTGAGTTCAAATACTTAGATAACAATTTGCTTCAAAAGATACAAATGACTTTTTAAAATGTATAATTAATATCTTTTGGAAGAATTGAAACCAAAAGAAAATACACAGAAACTTGTTGCTGTCAAATCAGTACCAATTCGTGGTGACCTCATGTGTTATAGAGTAAAACTACTTCATAGGGTTTTTTGGGCTACAGCCTTTAGGAGCTCTGGTGGCATAGTGCCTAAGGCATTTGACTACTAACCAGAAGGCTGACGGTTCAAACCCACCATCCACTCCTCAGAAAGAAGGTTGGGCAATCTACTTCTGTAGTGATACTGCCTTGGCAACCCAAGGAGGGGTCGCTATGAGTTGGGGCTGACTCGATGGCAGTGAGTTTAGATTTTTGGTTTAGCCTTTAAGGAAGCAGAGCAGCAGGACTTTCTTCTGTTGTATCAGTGGTTTGGTTCAAACTGCCAACCTTTAGATTAGTAGCTGAGTGCAAACAACTTGTGCCTCCCAGGGACCTTAATTTGGAAGAGTTAAGCATTCTTTATGTATCTGTGATTTTAGTATGTACCAGACCCCAAAATTTGCTATGTTAAAATAAAAGTTGTATAAACATTGATTACTATAATTGCTCTAATTTGAATGAACTATCTGTGTCCTTTGATGATGACCTTCTAGAGATAGAATAAAAGGTAAGTGGGAGTAAAATCAGTAATAAAGGAATTTGCACACTTTCCTTTATCTTCCTTCCATCCCCAGGAATAATTTCTGGCACAGGGACCAGTAGGTTTGTCTAGACGTGGTAACCTTGTCTTCTACCCCGTGTTTCCCTGCTCTTTCTGGTCTAACACTGTAAAAGCCTAATTGGATCAGTGAGTTCCCATGCACTGTCTTTATCCCCTTCTTCCTTGTGTGTGCCAAGCCTCTGCAGTGCTTTTCTAAGCCAGCCTATCCTGTGCTGACCTTGTTTCTGAGAACTCCAAGAACAACGCTGTTAGCAGTTCTGTTACCCGTGCTCATCACCCAGATAACATCCATCACTGCTGCTTCAATTCCCCTCTGCCTCTCTCAGGTTAGGAATAATAAAACATTTTAATCATCCTAAGTGTCTCATGGAACATTCCTAAGGAAAAAAAAAAAATGTCCACTTCAGAGTTTTAAATGTACATTGTGGCTTTAAAACTCTGCATCAGAGTCTGGGTATATGATGGAAATTTAGAAAATTTGACATTTTGTTTTATTCCTAGCCCTTGTGGTAGCAGTTCTACGCTTCATACAACTGAAACCAAAGGTTTTAAACCCGTGGCTGAATATCAGTGGATTGGTGGCGCTGTGTCTGGCTTCTTTTGGAATGACCTTACTTGGTAATTTTCAGGTACTTCACTTGGCCTTTTTCACCTCCCTCTTACACTGGTAAGACCTTCACGTATCTTATTATCACAGCCTCTGAGGTATCTCTTGCTTGTATTAAAAATAACTAGTTATAAAAATTGCTATAAAAATTGGTATATGTTTGGTGTGTATAAACCAAAAAAAAAGTACTTACAGAAAAAATAAATGTTTTTTTTTTTTTTTTTAAAGTAACTTGTTACTATATGGCCCATTCTGCATGAATTCTTTTTATAAAATGCTAACAGTAGTTCCTAACACAGACAAGTTCTCCAGCAGTAAGTTCTTATGGTCTTTCAGCCTGGTGCACCTAAGTTCACATTACACATGTGAGGAGGATTATTATGCATTTGAGATACAGTGCAACTATGGGGAAAAGTACCTACCAAAATAGCTGTGTATTTTGTTACTTGAACTTCAAAGTGCTTTACATATAATATTTCATAACAAATTGTATCCTGAAGTGTCCTTCTAGAAAACTGATAGGATCCTTGCCTTTTTATGGTTAAACACTGAGCATGCTTATTGAATGAAACCTTTTATTTCAGATTAGCAACCTCACGTGGGAATCAAGTTTGAAAGCCCAGATTTTCTCCCCAGTATCTGTGACTTGTATGAAAGTGTACCAGCCCTAATTCTTCTTTCTAGAAATTCAGAAGCCCAGGGCAAAACCTTTAGCAAAAATGCCCTTTGCCAATACTGTCACTCAGCTCTTGACTCGCTTCAGTGTAAAACAGACAAGGAGACCCTTGCTCTCTTAGATGAATTGTCTAACTGATTTCCCTGTCATTTTCCAATCTATGCTATAAAGTGCTGCTAGACATTTCCTTCTAGTAGTCAAACTCTGATCCTGTCACTCTCCTCCCTCACCCATTGAATGAAATTCAGATGATGTGGGCATCCAAGACCCTCAATATTTTAGTGAGTGTTTAGTAATGTTTTCACTGCAAAGATGGTAGTGGATTTTTTAAGACTATATCTTGTCCTGAGTGTCCTTCAGTTTAAACTGAAGAAATAACACAAGGCACAGCTCAGTGAGTGTGGCTCTGCAGGGGTCCTTGTTAGTCTGTTCCAAGTATGCAGCTCTCTGGTTGTCCAGCTTGATGGGGGTTGATGGGAGCACAATAGTTAGAGGAATTGGCAGGATTTACCTCTCTGTCAAACGATTCATCAAGTAGAAAATATTGAGTGCCAGGAAGACTTATTCCCTAAGACTTTACCTGGCACATAGTCAAAAGCCAAACTCACTGCCATCGAATTGTTTCCGACTCATAGCGACCGTTTGGGTTTCCAAGGCTGTAAATCTTTATGGAAGTAGATTGCCCAGTCTTTCTTCCGCAGAGCAGCTGGTGGGTTTGAACTGCTTAGCCGTCCACTTAGCCGTTAGCTTAGCAGTCAAGTGATAAGGCAGTAAAATTTGGTTTTTGACTGTGTGCCAGGTCAAGTCTTAGGGAATAAGTCGTCCTGGTTCAGTGAGTTGTCAGGAGAATATCTGGGAGTCTGTCCCCTTAAGCTCCAAAACGTTAGTGGGTGGGGCATTTTTTTACTGAGATTTTTGGTAGAAGTCTTTCTCCCACCTGCCTGCTTATGCCGCAGGTGCAGGCATGTTGTGAAACACTCAGCTATCATTTTTCTCAGCTATAGATATGATAAAAATTTCTGGATAAACATTTTGCTCTCTATTAAAGTCCTAGAAGAATTCTAGAGATTGGGTTGATTTGATAAACTATTTTGGGTTGTTACAGATTAAAGACTCGCCAAATCACTGGCATTTAAAAATATCTCTCACTTAAAATATCTTTTGTAATTGCATATATTGTTAACTGCATATATAAGAAAATTAAATCTACTATTGAAGAGATGGTTATTAAAACATGGTGAAAACAGTATTTTTTTTGAATCGCCACTGCCTTCAGGTATTTTGTTTTGTTTGGTATTATTGTAAATAATGATTGCATCAAATCATTACTTTTCCTGTACAATTTTTTTTATTGTTTTTCACAAGAGTTTCACCCTTCTTTGGAAGAAGCCACTTTTTACCCATATAACTCAAAATACATATTTTAATAACTTATTTTAAATCGTTATTTTGCAAATAAAATTTTCCTTCTAGTAAATTGGTTTTCCATGCTGTACATAACACAAATGGGTCCCCTTTTATCCATTAACTTGATAAAAGTCTTGACCATGAATTTTCAAGCACTGGTATCGTTGAATGGGTCTCCAAATACAAGTATGCATTGCTTAATGTCCATTAGGGCAGTGGCCTGTGAATCTGTGGTCCCGTAAAGTTATGATAGAGTTCAGAAATCCCGATGGGGGATTGAACGAAGTGCTTTGCTAAGTACAGAGACGCAGCGATCCCATCTGCCTCTCACTAGCTCTCCAGGTCCTGCCTTTGCCCTGCTCCTGGGGCAGCAGTGGAAGGGGATCGCAATGTCCATCTGTAGCTGCCTGGCCCACCACACTCGCCTCAAGCAGGGACCACGCAGTCGCTGCAGGAGCCCACGAGGGGGTGCTCTCGCATGGGACTCCCGCCCAGGCCGTGTCTTCTTTCTTGGTGGTGGCCGCTAGGTTTCGTGCTGAGAAGAGGCAGCGGGGCTGGAAGAGCTTGAAGCCCACATAGGTGTGGGGGTAGTGTGCAGGAAGGCACGGGAAGCGAGCAGGTGGCATAGGGCAGGGAGGCAGCCGCCTGGACTGTACACGCTGTGGCAGAGGGGGCCGGGGTGGGGGGTGACCACACAGGACCAGCAGCTTTTCCCACAGCCCCCTCCACATCTCTGGGTCTCGCAGGATGACCCTTGCTTGCCTCTCTCCTGTATTTACTATAGTATTCACACAAGTCCAACTCACATTAACACCCTATTTCACAGACTGTATTATGGACATTAAGGAGCTCTGGTAGCACAGTGGTTAAGGTATTTGGCTGCTAACCAAAAAGTTGACAGATTGAACCCATCAGCCTCTGCTCTGCTGGGCAGAAATGAGGCAGTCTGCTTCCCTAAAGATTATAGCCTTGGAAACCCTATGGGGCAGTTCTACTCTGTGCTGTAGTGTCACTGTGAGTCTGAATCCACTGGATGGCAGTAGGTTTGTGTGTTTTGTTGTTGTTTTTGTTTTCTTATTGTGGACGGTAACCAACGCATACCTATACTGCAAAAGGAAACCAAACAGAACAAATCCGTGTAACAATGATTTGGTCACATTAATGTATAAGCCAGTTTTATAAGAGTAAAGAATGTTGTTGTTGTTATGTGCCCTCGAATCGGACCCGACTCATAGCGACCCCTCCTTGGGTTTCTGAGGCAGTATCACTATGGAAATAGATTGCCCAGCCTTCCTTCCGAGGAGTGGCTGGTAGGTTTGAACCGCCAGTCTTCTGGTTAGCAGACAAGTGCCTTAAGCACTACGCTACCAGAGCTCCCATAGACAAGGGTTAATAGTTGTCTTTGCCAATAAAATCTGGACCTGCCTAATAGGCCATCCTTGGTGAGTGATTCCAAGTTCAGCCAGATTCCAAGTTCATTTTCTTAGGCTTGGAAAACAAAGTTTGGGGTGGATGCTTTTAGAATCTTAGACATTTTCCTTTTTTTGTATAACCTTTGCTCTTTTCTTTTAGTTTCCCACAAAGCTTTTCTAGAAAATAAATTTAAGAATGATTATCACTGCCTATGTAGTTTGTGGACAAATGTTTTTGGGGTGCTGGAGTACAATTTAAGGAACTCTGGCAGTGTAGTGGGTAAGGCATTTGCCTCCTAACCAAAAGTTCAATGGTTCAAACCCACCAGCTGCTCCATGGGAGAAAGATGAGGCAGTCTGCTTCCATAAAGATTACAGTCCTTTGTAAATGTGCACCCAAATCACAACTGAAAGGGGGCGGGGGAGATTACAGCAACCCTGTTGGGGTTGCTATGACAATCAGCTCCATGGCTGAACCATGATTTGGGTTCTGGGTAGAATATTATTTATTTCCCTTTTTTTTTCCTCATAGTTGGAACCCACTGAAAACATACACAAGGAGCCAGTTGGGGATGAAGGAATCTAATCTTTTAAAATTTATTATCCCATTTTTGGGATATCCCCCGCCCCTTCCCTCTCTCACTTACTCCAATGGCTTGTGTGTCTTTTTTTTTTTTTTTTTCCCCCAAAAATGAGTCTCCACGTACCATTTTTGTTGATCCCTCAGCTCACAAATGATGAAGAAATCCATAACGTTGGGACTTCCTTGACCTTTGGATTTGGCACATTGACCTGCTGGATCCAGGCTGCATTGACACTCAAAGTCAACATCAAGAATGAAGGACGGAAAGTTGGAATTCCCAGAGTTGTTCTGTCAGCATCTATCACTCTTTGTGTGGTCCTCTGTATCCTTTGAATGCGAGACACTTCTTTGCCAATGAATTTAAACACAGATAACATCTATGTAGAAGATAAGTCAATTGCTTGCCCCAGTGGGTTAGGATATATTGTTGTCATATCATCTCAGAATCTTAGACAAAACAGAAAAATAAATAGTATAAAAACACTGTCAGACCTACTTTTGATGCCAGAGAGGAAATGGAGAACTTTAAAAAAGAAAAAGAGGTTTGCCTTCTCAAGATTATTATAGTTTCTATCTGTAGGAATGGTGTAATGTGTTCTCCTTATCACTAAAAATGTGAAAGTTCCCCTTTTTGAAAAACAAAATGCATAAACAAAAGAGAATTGTGACTTTTTTCTGCATCTTAAAAAAAGAAACAATTTGGCTTTTTTTAAAGGCCCTACTCATTTGGGAGCTCTGGTAGCATAGTGGCTAAGGCACTTGACTGCTAACCAGAAGGCTGGAGGTTCAAACCCACCAGCCACTCCTCGGAAGGAAGGTTGGGCAATCCTACTTCTGTAGTGATACGACTATGAGTCGGGTCCGACTCGACGGCACATAACAACAACAACAGCTCATTAATTTATTAACTCTTAAGATGAACTTCAGGGGACAAGTACATTTATGTCTCTCAGGAAAATAGCTAAGCTTTTCTGGAAAATAAATTTACTAAAGATAGACTACCATTGTATTTATCGTTTTCCTGTTGTTGTGTTGTTGTTATGTGCTGTTGAGTCAGACCCAACTCATAGCAACCCCTCCTCGGGTTTCCGAGGCAGTATTACTTCGGAAGTAGATTGCCCAGCCTTCCTTCTGAGGAGTAGCTGATGGATTTAAACTGCCAGCCTTCTGGTTAGTAAAGTGCCTTAGGCACTATGCCATATAGTCTTCCTAGAGAGAGACTAGTCTAGGATGGAGCACAGTGGCACCTACTGGTAGCATGACCCAATGGAAGCTGGCCATTTCACATCCCACAGATCAGCTCAGTCACTCATACTGTGGGACTGAGTAATCAGAAGGGTTCTCTCCCATAGCTCTTCCTCTTCAGAAAGCCAGAAAGGAAGGGCATAAAGTTTCCTAAATGGTAGATTGTATAGTTAATACGGGAGCTCTGGTAGCATAGTGGCTAAGACACTTGCCTGCTAACCAGACGGCTGGCGGTTCAAACCCACCAGCCACTCCTCGGAAGGAAGGTTGGGCAATCCTACTTCTGTAGTGATACTGCCTTGGAAACCCAAAGAGGGGTCGCTGTGAGTCAGGTCTGACTAGACGGCACATAATAACAACAACAACATAGTTAATACAGTCACACAGCTTCAATCATAATAATACCCAACATTTATTAAGTAGTTACTATGGTCTAGGTACTGTTCTAGGAGCCAATACAACACACAGAGATATATTTCAAGGAAACACTTCATGCAACTGTGGAGGCTGGCAAGTCCCAAATGCATGGCTCAGGCATCAGGCTGGAGGCTTCTTCTGATTCACGTGGTTGCAAGGGCTGAAGAACACAAAATCAGCAAGTCACATGGTAAACTGCTGGCTCATAGGGCTGCAGAGGCCGGCCAATCCCAAAATCTGGGATGGCAGGGTGCTGGCTCACGTCCCAAGAAACAGAGGTCAGAGGATGACGAGTTGGATGTAAGATCAAGAGAGGATGAACTTTGCCGGAACATCAGTATATATTGGATACAGGCCACACCCCCAAAGAGGGTCCCCTTTCAACTGATTGGCTGCTTACATCAGATTACAAAATAGAGGATGATTACATATTTTCTGCCAACCCACTGACAATGATGGGCTAGCCAAGTGGACACATAACCTTAACCATCACAGCAGATAAAAATAGTAGAGCGCAGAGAGGTTAATTTGCCCAAGATCACACAAGTAGTATGTTGTTGTTAGCTGCTGTTGTGTCCTACTCATAGCGACCCTATGCATAGCAGAATGAAACACTGCCCGATTCTGCACCAGCTCCATGATCCTAGCTATGTGGTATGTGGTAGATCAAGTTTTAAACTCAGGCTCAATTCTTGCACTCATAACCACTAAGTGGTTCTGCTTTTCCAACTTGCAAGAAAGTTGGTCTTGAAATACAAATCAACATTTAGCATTCAGGGATGTTCTCTAATTAATGGAGTCTTTTATATCTTCTTTCCTCACAAATTGCCATTCAGTAATTCCGTTGGTTCAATTTCTACCAGTCACATTAGATAGAAAACATTCAAGAACTTGAAATTTAAGCCAAAAGACTTGCAGCTTGCCAACAACCTGATTAAAGTATTTTATAAGTAAGAAGGTCAAAGATCTGCCCAACTGGGCTTTGAAGATTTATCCTTTCCCTATTAACTTAAGTAATAAGTATTTTTTTGGCAGTATTTTGGTAAAATCAGAGTAGTGTGGACAGACTTTAAATTATCCTGAGTTTTGAGCTTATACCAAGTGGCTCTGATCTGAATACCTGGAAGCATTTCTTGGTTTTCAGGAGAATGGATTCAGGCCTAGTCAGAACAACTAAGGTTGGCCAAAGTGGTTTAATATATTCTTACCATTGGAAAATTTCCCAAGATTTTAAGTCGAGCTCTGGAGAAGAAACTAATTCTAAAGTATTATTTCTGATGTTCTGAATGAATGTATTTTGACCTTGGCTTTTCATTAAGAGATGCTGTGAATCTTTCTCCTTCCTTTCTCCTGCCCTCATATATCTTGGGTGAAGTTATAAATATTCAAACATAGGCATCTCATGTTGTGGTGTTCATGGTTATTAATTGCATATTTTCATTTGGGCACAAGTTTAAGTGTGACTCTGGGAATGAAGCTAACTTATACATTAATGCTTGGACTTTTATTGAGCAGTTCTTTATTTCTGCTAAGTATTATCTGAAAGACAAAAGTGAAAATTAGAAGGGGGAGAGGAGCCTCTCAGACATTTTTAGTAGCTGTGCAGAGGCAAGCATAACTTATATGGAAGTAATTAACTATTTGTTAGGCTCAGAATAATTTATGCAGATATAATTACTATAACCCATAACCATTTTCAGTGATTTTACAAAAGTTAGTTTTATTTTTCTGGTCTTCCAATTACTTTAGAATCCTATTGGAAATCTCCATTTGTTAGACAAGGAACTTCTGGTGATGTAGTAGTGGTTTAGGCATTCAGCTGCTAACCAGAAGGTTGCTGGTTCAACCCCACCAGCAGCTCTGTGGGAGAAAGATAGGCAATCTCCTTCTGTAAACATAGCTTTGGAAACCCTATGGGGCAGTTCTGTTCTCCTTATAGGGTTGCTGTGAGTTGGATCCACCTCGATGGCAGTGGGTTCATGGTGGATGAACACTGTTCCTGGAGTCAGGATGCTTGTGTTTAAATCCCAGTTCCACCAGTTAATGCCTGTGTGATCTCAGGCAAGTTATTTAACCACTTGGCCTTTGTTTCCCCTATCTGTAAGTGAACTGCTGACAATGACAGGGTTGTGGTGAAGAATAAGATCATCCGGGAAAACACTTAGAACCACATCTGGCACAAAATAAAAGGATCAATATTATCTGTTGTTCTTCATGTAAATGTGTGGGTTTATCAAGCTCTGTCACAAGTGAGAAGGGGTGAGCCAGACTTTTCCATCACCTCTCTGCCCAGAAAAAAGCCCAGTTTTAATGGGGTTGATGTGGGTAATTTCCTTGACTGCTTCTCCCAGACTTCATCCTCATGGCCCAAGGCATCCACATGTATGCAGCCAGGATCCAGTGGGGCCTAGTCATGTGCTTCCTGTCTTACTTTGGCACCTTCGCTGTGGAGTTCCGACATTATCGCTATGAGATTGTTTGCTCTGAATACCAAGAGAATTTCCTAAGCTTCTCAGAAAGCCTGTCAGAAGCTTCTGAATATCAAACCGACCAGGTGTAACCCATCAGCTTCTCCTTGCTGGTGAGGTGGGTGTGATGGTGGGGGAGGGGCCAGGAGGATACACTCACAGGACTTGACATATGACCTCATGACACATTTTTCACACACACGTTCACACATATACTGTGCATCCATTCATGACCACATTTGCCAAATGAGCTTTTCAGGGCAAGTTATTTCTTAATGTAAAAGCACAAGCCCTTGTGTGTTGAAATATATGCTGTTACACTGAACATATATGCACGACAGAGCAAAAAACCTGTGCATGACCATGTCTCTTTCCCCTGCTCTTCTCACTCTCTTCCCATGTTTCAGACACCTTGTTCATCCTACCACAGAGTATGGTAGCCAAATGTAACATGGGGATAATGCCAACTCCCAAAGTTGCCTTCAGGTCCAAAGAACTTGGAACCAGCTCATTGGGAAGTTCGGAATCTGACACTAACACTCTTGAATGGATAATCTTCAAATTGGACGGAGACCACAGAGAGATGTGACCTTGTGTAACTTGTGGAAAGGTATAGGATGATCAAAGGGAGAACCTCCCAGGAAGACTCATTTCATCATCCTTTAGCAGTGGGCTGTGTGAATTCAACGAAAGGCACACACTACAAACTGTGAGAGTGAAGCCCACTACCATGATTTGGACTTGATCAATTGTGACTGAGAAATATTTCCAAATGTGAATGTTTGTAGGGATATGATCTGCCAAGCATGGAATAAGATGGGGCAGCTAATGAGGTTTAGTACTTGTTTTTGTAGTATGCCATGTGTGTGTGTGTATATATATATATATATATATATATATATATTTTTTAATTTCATGGTTTACCTATTTTTTTTTCTTTAAGGAACTACTATGGGTCTCCCTAGGCCTCACGGACAAAGAATATATAGGCCAAATGCAAGAGGTGAGCTTGCTTTGGTTTCAACCCCAGTAAAGGCAAAAAAGAATGGGGGGGGGGGAATCACCTCCAGGCTTTATTTGCTGCTTTTGTTTGAAGCTAAGAAAATGTGCAAAGAAATATATTTGGAAGTAATAAAAAGAGCTCCTGCTGGACACATTTATAAAGGACAGGACTTTTAGAGCATCTTGTTGCTAGGTCAAATCAGGGGAGAGTTCCTTAAAATATATCTGTTGCTCAGATTTAGTATTTTGTTGTGTATAAAGGGCTTTTCAAAGTTGGAATTTCTAGAAGCCTAAAAAAAGATGACGTTCCCTGCAAAAAACAAGTTAGGGCAGCTGGTTCCCTAGTGCCCAACACATCACTTCTCCCTGCTAGACCTCAGAACTCCGGCATTCAAATGGTAGCCTAGCTTTTGAGGCTGTGCTTCATAAGGAAGAGCAGAATTCCAAACTCAAAATATGTTGGAGGGTCAAATGGACAGACCTTCATGAATATATTTTGTTTTGAGAAATCCCCTAATTTACTTGAAAGGGGCCTGAGATTTCAATTGTTTTTCCATTCAATCCAAAGTCTGAGCTTCTTGAGGAGGGGTCAATGTCTTTTCATCTCTGTATTTACCCCCACCTCCCAATACAGTGCCTGGCACATCTTAGGTGCTCAATACATGTCTACTGAATAGAATTAGAGGTAATTTAAGAGGGGGAAATAGGAATATCAACAAAATTCAAAGATGAGTGAGAAAATTTTAAGAAAACTGAAGATCACAGGTAGTAGATTCAGGAGAAGAAGAAATCATGAACAAGAGTCAGAAGGGGGAGTGAGACTATTTGTAAATTATATGTAAAATGTGAGGAAAATAATTAGAGAGTATTCTCCTATTAAAAAGGCATTTAACTGTAAATAATACAAGGTGACATTTTTTATTTTTTGAATACTGCTTTCGTTTCTTTTTTCATTTTTATATTTTAAAAATTTTGAAGAACAAAGGTTTATGAAGTTTTCTTTTCCTGTACACAATCCAAATTAAACCGCTTTTGGTGATGCACTGTACACTTTCTTAAGAATATACCTAATAGCACATTTTAGCAGAATCAGGCAAACTGACATTATTCATTGGGATCTTACCACTAAATAAAATTCTTTTATGCAAAATTGTGATTTCCTTGTTTCTTACATTAACATTCTTCTCTATTATTAAAACATGTGATAAGCTCAGTGGGACATTATATTGACAATGAACTTGAGTGTTAATTGATAGCAGCTAGATAAAGACCAAGATTACAGCACCTCCTGTTGTTGTGTACAACCCCTCCTTGGGTTTCCAAGGCAGTATCACTATGAAAGTAGATTGCCCAACCTTCCTTCCAAGGAGTGGCTGGTGGGTTTGAACACCCAGCCTTCTGGTTAGCAGTCAAGTGCCTTAGGCACTATGCTACCAGAGCTCCTAGGAATTAGGAACCACAACATTCACATAAGAAGCTGAGACCGGAATCAGCAGGATCTTAAAGCAAATGGCCCAGAGAACAGAGTTTCAAATACGCTAAACCTGGTTTTTACAGTTCAACTAAGTGTCTTGAAGAAGAGTAGTTGCTTTCCCAGTTAGAAGAAAAATATTTTCAAAGCAATGTTAATATTTTAAAGGTGTGATAGTTTTTATTCAATACAGAACTAACATTGAGGTAAAGTTTTATTATCTGTGTTATTTATTGGCTTTCTGTTTCCCCTGGTATGGGAAAATAACACTTTCATCTTGAAGCTTGAGATCTAATGGTTATAAATGAAGAGTAGAACACCACTGTTAATTTTATTTTTATCCTTAGGCATTGTATTAGTCAGCCAAGGAAGAGTGGCAAACTGCTCTTAAATCTTCTGCCAGCAAGTGCAAGTATCACTGAGCTTATATTTCATTAGGAGCTCTGGTGGCATAGTGCCTAAGGCATTTGACTGCCAACCAGAAGGCTGGCAGTGAAAACCCACCAGCCACTCCTTGGAAGGAAGACTGGGCAATCTACTTCCGTAGAGATACCACTTCCGAAGGCCAAGAAAGGGTCTATGAGTCGGAACCAATTCAACGGTATTGAGTTTTTTTTTTTTTTTTTAGTATTTCACTGGTCAGAGCAAATCACATGGCTGTTATCTGAGAGTAGCAGAGAAGGGAACTTCTACCACATACCCAGAATGAGAGAAACATTTATGAACAGCCTAGTGATGACCACAGGATTCATATTAAGTTTGTAAGACTTCTTTGGTTACCATCATTCCTTTGAAGTGGGAATATGTCTTGGTTCTCTAGTGCTGCTATAACAAATACCACAAGTGGATGGCTTTAACTACGAACTTACTCTCATACAGTTCAGAAGGCTAGACATCTGAATTCAGATCTCTAAGGGGCTGGGTGAAGGCCCCTCTACGTGGGCTGTAGCCCTGCATCTCGTCCCAAGCTCATTGGAGGCTGTTTCTGACTCATGCAGGTACTGGCTACTGAAGTTGACGAACTCAAGATCAGCAGGCAAATGGCACAATCTCAAGATTGTGCAGACCACTGGTTCAAATCCAGGAACTAGAGATGAAGACTCAGCCAAATGCAGGATCCAGATGTGCCAAAAAGCTAGAGACCTTTCTCACATCTTCTTCATATATAGTGGAAGTAGGCCACATCCCAAAGCCAGCTCCTCTTCAGCTGATTAGATGCTAACAGCAGATTCCACCATGAAGGTGATTATAATCTCATCATGAGGAATAACTACATCCAGCTGCCAAACCACTGAGAACCAAAACCCAGCCAAGGTAACACACAACCTTAACTACTATCACAGAGTCCCAGGAATTAAAGAATCCACCATAATAAAATAAGTAAAGGAGCTATCTATGAGGTTGGGCTAGAACACCAAAACACAAGTATGAAGAACCAGCTAAATAATAGTTAAAATGAGAAAAAAGCATTTCTGCTGAGCCCAAGAGCTCTTGGCTGCATCTATAATTTATGTTACCCAAAGTAGTAGAAACCAACAGTTTGGGTTAAGAGAATTTCATGTATGAAATAAACTGATTTTCATAATCCTCTGATTCCCTATTCCAGAAACCAAATTCACTACCGTCAAGTTGGATCCGACTCATAGGGACCCTTCCTTGGGTTTCCGAGGTGGTATCACTATGGAAGTAGATTGCCCAACCTTCCTTCCGAGGTGTGGCTGGTGGGTTTGAACTACCAGCCTTCTGGTTAGCAGTCAAATGCCTTAAGCACAAGAGATATCAGCAACTATCCAAATCTGAGGTCCAAAGAAGGAAGGGTGGTAACAAGGTCCAAGCAGAGAGTTTTCCATTGGCATAAAATAGACTTTTATTTCTCCCATCTTAAAAACAAACAAACAAACAAAAAAAACCTTATTTATGGTCTCCAGTGGGTCTCTCCCAATTTTCTCTTGAACATACACCAATCATGTTTTTGCTTCCATCAATTCACTGAAACTATTCAAGCTCCTCAAAGACCTCACATTGTTACATTCAAGGATTAACTGAAAGTACCATGGACTTCCAGAAGAACGAACAGATCTATCCTGGAAGAAGTGCAGCTGGAATACTCCTTGGAAGCAAGAATGACCAGAATTGGTCTCACCTACTTTGGTCATGTTCTCAGAAGGAACCACTCCCTGGAGAAAGATACCATGCTTGGTAAAGTGGAGGGTCAATGAAAAAGGCAAAGGCCCTCAGTGATTGACATAGTGGCTGTAGTGATGGGCTCAGGTACAGCAAGGATTGTGAAGCTGGTATAGAACTGGGCAGTGTTTTGTCTGTTATGCATGGGGTCACTATAAGTTGAAGCCAACTCGACGGCACCTAACAACAACAAATCTTACCTCTATGCATAAGCTCACACACACAAAAAAACCAAACTCACTGCAGTCAAGTTGGTTCTGACTCACAGTGACCCCTCTTTGGGTTTCTGAGGCAGTATCTCTATGGGAGTAGATTGCCCAGTCTTCCTTCCAAGAAGAAGCTGGTGAGTTTGAACCTCCAACCTTCTGGTTAGCAGTCAAATCCCTTAGGCACTACACCACCAGAGCTCCCATTCATAAGCAAAGCTTGACAATTTGATCAGCTCTCTTCACAACCCTTAAAACACCTTTCCTTCATTTGGCCTCATGCTTCAGTGCTGCGGTGTAGTAAATTACTTAGTGTGGCTTTTCTATCCATAAGTCTTTGTAAACTCCAAGGTGGGATTTTGTATGAGCAACTGAGCAGCCCCTGATTGCTGAAGCTATCCACCTGGGCTATTTCTGTTGGGAGTGGCACAATACAATGTTCTGGGAGGTGCCCACTCTCT